ATGGCAGTAAAACAGTAATTCGGGACTGTAAAATATTTATTTGCTATATACCTTTATACTTCAGTAGTGAAGAGGTTAACATTAACTGTCGTACCGCTACTAGTCAAATTAATTTTTTCTGAAGGAAATTTAAATGAATTTTGGAAATGAACAAACATAAAAGTTTGTCAATAAATTAGCCACATAATATCTCAGCATGTTTACGTCATGTAAATATAGAAAGTGTTTTTACAAACTGTAAGTATTTTAGAATTTTGGAGAGATATTTATACCACCGCAATGAATAGTTTTCATATTCCCAGCATTATTATTTAAAATAAAGTATTCCAAGATATGTAAGATAAACATTGTTATATGAAAAAGTATATTTACATGTATTATTATTTGAAATGTATTTCAATCGGAACTGTGATTTTCTGTACTTGCTATATTTTTTTTTAAAATTTAAAAATGTATCTCAATTCACTAGCGTTTAAAATTGAAAATCACGCTTTCGAGAAAGCGCCATCAGAAGAGTTAAAAAAAAATACTATTTTACTCTCTCTTAAGTACACTGTAAAAAATTCCGGATAAAATTACGGTAAAAAGTAACGGCACTTAGGGTTGCCAATACTTTTTACAGTAAAATCTATTTTTCACCGTAACGTTTCAGGGAAGAAAAAAGTCTGATATACTGTATTTTTTATACAGTAATATTTACTATAAAGTCACTGACTCACTGTAAATAAATAAATATTTCTTTTTAAAAACTGCGGTAAAAATGGATTTCAAGGTAAAATGGATTTCCTTAATGTTGCTCACAGGGTGCCAGTACTTTTTACCGTAATTCGAGCGGGAATTTTTTACAGTGTATAATTTTTAATAAAACAACGCTTATGCACATTTTGTATAGATGCAAACCCAGATGCAAACCATCCTACGATATTCTGTGGTAGCGAAATTATGATTAAACTAAACTTAATTTCTTTAACTTTGTCTGAACTTAAAAATTTCACTGCAGAATTATTAGTTTTGTGAATTTATTGAAATTATTTACATATAGTGGTGGTCAAAATCATTGTAAATCAAATTTATTAAATAAAAAAGGAAATAGTAAAACATAAAATTTACTAACATTTCAAATGTTCATCAAAATTCTTCCATAAATATTAGGGAAGTTGACGTAAATGAAAATTGAGCTTCAAATTGGTTAACGTTGACAGTTTTCTTCGCAAGTTGTGGAAAGTTGTTGAGGCCCAATCAATCTAAATATATGTATTTCTTATGTTGGGTGCTTCGTAACCACCTCTCTTAATATGAAATTTTAGATTAAGTTCTCATCAAAATTGAAGTAAAGATAAAGGTAACACTTTAAGGATGACTCTTAATGTGTGTACCATTTGCTTTATTTTTTTAAACAAGGATTCGTGTAAACATATGACATAAAAATGCAGGTCAAAGGTGATTATTATGGAACAGCCTGAATGAGAAATATAAATGAACAGTTGTTCTATCATAACTGCTCTCTCCTAATGTTGGTACAATGTAACAATAAGGAAAATTACAACGATCATCTGTATAAAAATAAATAAGGAAATAAGGAAAACTACTTTTATTTTATATAATGATTATAGTTCATAATAATTTTTATTTTAAAACATTCGAATTTCTTTTTGAAATTTTCTTTATTATTAGCTGTTTAAATTTCTGTTTCTTCATTATTAGCTGTTAAAATTAACTATTAATCCCTTCCTTCTCGCTCCCTTGAAAATTACGGGGTGAGGTTTCNATCTGTTTAAAAATAAATAAGGAAATTAAGAAAACTACTTTTATTTTATATAATGATTATATTTCATAATAATTTTTATTTTAAAACATTCGAATTTCTTTTTGAAATTTTCTTTATTATTAGCTGTTTAAACTTCTGTTTCTTCATTATTAGCGGTTAAATTAACTATTAGCCCCTTCCTTCTCGTTCCCATGAAAATTACGGAGTAAGGTTCCGCCCTCTATTTCTCGCTCCTGTGAAATTTCCGGGCTGGAGTGTTCGGTAGTAACGCGCCAATAAGAATAAAACTAATTCAGTTATTTTGCCCGGAAAACATTTTATTTCTTATTTTACACACCAGATGGCTGTACCAAGATAATTTTAAGGTAATTGCAAATAGTTAGTTTACTTTAAACTAGATGTCAGCACTAATTAAATGTGTGTATTTGGCAAAATAGGCACTTTTACGACCATTTTCTTGAAAATTAACCGATCGTTAAGGGGTTAATGTAACTTCACACAGAGAGTGAAAAGAGGGCTGTAATAAATTATTAAAAATAATTGAATTACAAACCTGTGATGCTGATACAAAGCAATTAATGGCTGTTGGTGATATGTGAAATAGATGAGACCATGAGAATTTTTTGAAATCCACTATTGAGACTATACCACATATCTGTGTAACTGGATTTTGCAAGGCCTTTTCATTGCATATGAGACCACACCTGACGATTTCATCAAAAGAAGCGTGTTCTGGTTCCCACAGACCTTCAATAAGAGAGGGAGTTTATGTAATAAGAATTTAACGAAATCTTATTTTCTAAATCTATTGAATATTGAGCTTTGTACCGGGTGTCCAAAAAATAATCGATGATTTGAAAAATAAATTTAAGAAAAATGGAAAGGGACGCAAATGTACGGTTTACTGTACTTTTGCTTAGGAAACCAGAGGATTTTCCCTTCCAATGAGGTGAACCGGGTTCGAATCTCGGCGATGGCTGGTCGATACGAATCCGCACCCGGTTTGCACCAACCACCGTGCTGACGTGAAATATCCTCAATGGTAGGCGGATCATGGGTTAGAGTCCCATTGCCGTCAGGTAAACAGTGGGAGGCTCTCGTTGTCTTCCTCTCTCTGTAACGCAAATACGGGTTAGTTCCATCAAAAAAAAGTCCTCCACAAAGGCAAATTTCTTTGAATACTTGATCCATGAGTTCCCTTGTCTTCTGGATTGGTTTCAAAATTACAAGGCTACGGAGTTGAACATTAGAAGTCGTAAATCCGAAAATTGGGTTGGCTGCTCAACGACGGTTATAAAATAAAATAAAAGTGACACATTCTAAATTCTTTCACAAAGATTCACTAATACCAGATATTTACACAGAGACTTAACACAAAGACAAGCGCGAAGCCATATAGAACATAAACAAACTTATTATGCATCGAAGTTGCCAGGTACACAAAACAAAAATATATGACGGTTACAATAAATAAAAAAACAAAGAATAAATCTGAGTTAAGTAAAAGAAATTGACGAGAAGGAAATATATTTCAACTAATTCGATGTGCGATATGGTTTTATATTTAATTAACATATCGTTAATTAACATTCTGACTTATGTAGAGAAACTTATCTCAACTTTAATACGCCATTTTGTTGATAAAGATTAGCTGGCGCTGACGTCAGAGGTCACATGTGTGGATATGGGAGGAGGGTCACATGTGTGGATATGCTTATTCTTTAACAAATTCACAAAATTTCGCAATTTTTTTTCTTCATGACACTTTTAAATTTGTTGGTTTTTTTTGCGCTTTCCGATGGAAATGAAAAGTCTTTCAACAAAAGTTTTTTTATGATTTTTCTATTTGGTTTCACCATATTTTTAGGTTTAATTTTTAAAATTTACCAACAGGAGTAAAGCTTTTCGAAATTTTAAAAATTGGGCAATATTCTTGGTATAAACAAAAAACTCGTATCTTGAAATCATTTCAAAACAAGGTTATTAAGGTTTTGTGATTTTTCTATTTGGTTTTACCAAATTTTATATTAGTATTATTGAAAAACTCGATTTGGGTAATAGAATATTACTTAAATTTTGCGTTCGAGTTTTAAAATTTATCACTAGAAATCAAGATTTTCGAAAGAAAAAAAAAACAATCTTTACTGTATATAAAAAAAAAAAAATTAATAAAATCTAGAAAAACTTTTAACAAAAGATTATTTACTTTTTGCATTCAAATTTTAAAATGTATTCACAAAAATAAAGTTTTCCAAAACTAGACAATCTTTACGTTATTTAAAAAGACTTGAACAGCGTAGTTATTTTAATAAAAGGATCTTAATGTTTCGTGTCTAATTTTTAAAATTTACCAACAGGAATAAAGCTTTTCGAAATTTTCAAAATTGGGCAATATTCATGGTATAAACAAAAAAATCGTATCTTGCTTTTATTTCAAAACAAGGTTATTAACGTTTCGCGTTTGATTTTTAAACGATATGTCACCAGAAATAAGAATTTTCGAAATCGGACAATCATTACAGTATAAGCAAAATATACAAACGCTTATGGTACAAATCAGGGGTTTCCAACTTACATGAGACCGGGGGCCACAATTAAAAACACAAATCAAATGGCGGGCCGCAACTCTGTCAAAATTTTATGTAGGACTCTTTTATTTTTGAGAGAACATTAAATATTACTGTCAGATTTTTAGCAAGTCGTACTAAACAAAAGTATTGAATTACAAATTAAAATGAAAAGTACATTTTTAAAAATATTTAATTGCATATTAAAAAATTCGGGCTACAATAACTTTAATGTGCAGCCATGTATTAAACAATTAATGTGCAACAGATATCTAATTGTTAAGATATAAAACTTTAAAAAGGTTGGTATTAAAACTTACATAGTAGCACACAAAATGTTTAATGACAAAATTGAGGTTTGTCTGCTGCAACCACCAGAGAATAGATATTTACATTTTAAATTTAAAATTTACAAATGTGTGTGTAAATATTTTCTTCCAAAATGAGTGGTTTCAAAAAGTTAAATCGGAGAATTTCTTCGAGAAAATTTCTGATGCACACATGCTAAATTATATTCACAAAATGCAAAAAACTGAAATAAAAAAGAGCAACATACGCAATCATTTTTGTATTTGAATAAATATTTTCTTGGAAAAAAAAAACCTAAGAAATAATTTTTTTTTGCTCCGTTGGTATGATAAATTTCACAGAAACGAAGAAATTAGGTTTTTATTAACGAGAAAAGTATTTTAAACCCATGAAGATTTTTTACGAAAAATGACAACTAATATAATTCAAACAAAAGGCTTCGAGGGCCGTATGCGGCCCCCTGGCCGCTAATTGGAAACCACTGGTATAAGCAAAAAACTCGCATTTTGCAATAATTTCAAAGCAAGGTTATTAGCGTTTCGTGTTTGATTTTTAAACGATATGTCAGCAGAAATAAGAATTTTCGAAATCGGACAATCATTACTTTATAAACAAAACACACAAATCGGGCAATCATTTCAGTACTATTTTGCAATTGTACCTACCAACTCTGGACACCCACACTGCACTTCCTTCAGGATTGCGCCATGGTAAAAAGTTCATCATGTTTGTTTCTAATACTTTTGAAATATTTGTTGGGCTGAATTTCTTGTAAAGTGACTTGTAATACATTCGGTGGCCGTAATATTTCTTTAGTAAAGAAAAAGCTCTGTCTGTATCAAATTTCTTAACTCTCAAAAATTGCAATAGGAAGTTGTCAGACATATCAGATTCCAAGTTCTTTTCACCTGTAAAAATTACGCAGGAATTAAAAAAAGGATGTTAATATAAGTTTTATAGTAAAATGGAACAACAGTGAGAAATTTTCAAATTAACTTTGTTGTTATTTTTTCATTTAACAGAATAAAATTCTTTTTATTTTTTGCTTATTCATTACTCTTTTTATAGTAAAGACATGCGGGAAAATTTACGTATCAGCAGAAACGATTACAAAAGCAACACTATTGAGGTACAGTTCCTTATAGAGGAAATATATATTTATTGACCCTCCATTTCCCTTTTGACCTTATTTAGTTAGACATTCAAAAATTATGTACAGCGCGCGAAAAAGCGAACACACTGTTAAAATTTTCCTTCCAAAATTATTGTAAAATATGCGGCAGCAGTCTGTCCATCCAGTTAATCGTGAAGTTTACGATAAAGGGCATTTTTTACCTTTATGGTTTTGAAACCGTTTTCAATTAGCATGATTAAGAAACCATGAATACAAAACTATACGATTTTTAAACCAGTTAATCGTAAAGTTTAAGATAAAGGACATTTTTTACCTTTACGGTTTTAAAACCGTTTTCAACTAGCATGATTAAGAAACCACGAATACAAAATTATACGATTTTTAAACCAGTTAATCGTAAAGTTTACGATAAAGGGCATTTTTTAACTTTACGGTTTTGAAACCGTTTTCAACTAGCATGATTAAGAAACCACGAATACAAAACTATACGAATTTTAACCCAGTTAATCGTAATGTTTACGATAAGGGGCATTTTTTACCTTTACTGTTTTTAAACCGTTTTCAACTAGCATGATTAAGAAACCATGAATACAGAACTATACGAATTTTAAACCATTTACAACTAGCTTGATATCAAAACAGTAGAAAAGAAATTTAACTGTACATTGGAGCTAGGTTTTTCGTTTGGTAATGGGCATTGGAGTTAGGTTATGGTTCCGTTGTATTTTATAAAATGAAACGTGGAGTCTAGTTTAATTAGATTATATAGTCGTTTCACCTATCGTAAGAAGTGAAAATATTAGACTTTTCTGTGCTAAGCAACTTTATGGTGCTGCCATCTATGTGTGAAAGAGAGTATCGTATTCTAATAGTTTAAGGTCACAAATTGCGGAGAGTAAGACACTGGAAACTTCTCATGTGTTGAAGGGAATGGAAGGAAGATATATTGTGATGTCAATGCTGGGTCTCGAACCCCCGTTCTTTCGATCACAAGATTGACAGATTAGCCTCTTGGACTATAATATGTACCTAAATGCAAGGAACTAAATGGATTTATTTTATAAAATTCTGTTGTTTAACCGAATTAGGTAAAAGCAGTTAATAAAAGGTTTTTCCCGCAGTTAACAGCTTGAACATCTTATTTATGGTTACTTGTTTGTTTTGGTCCCGCAGTGGACTGATCGCTAAGACACGGTTCCCAGCAGATCACCGAAGTCAAGCATCACTGGCTGCGGTTAGTGTGCGGGTGGGTGACCACTTGGATCAGTCTGCGTAGGGACCGAGGGTGTGCGGTATTGGTCCTCGTTAAACTGTGCTACCGTAAAGTGCTCGACTTCGCGTGCAGGTCGTCGGGCTACCGAAGAGGGGGTGCCATCCCTTCCGCAGAGGATCAAAATTGTGATGGCATGTCTTCGGATCATCCTCAGGGATGTTTCCCAGACCGTCGCCAATAGCCCATTGTGCAGCTCTAGTGCGACGTAAATGAACTACAACAACAACAAATTGTTTGCTTTGTTTAAATACGGTTTAATAACAAATTGATATTTAACAATTTTTTCTAACAATGCACTCTGAATAATATTTGATCGAATGATTGGTTTTGCAAGTGCTCGGACACTATTTTAATGCTTCGAGGAATTAACTTTAAATATGCTAATACGACAGACACGATACAGACGTTATTTTAAGAAGCTAAATCAGACATAAAAACGTAATTTCTCTGAATAAACATACTTTTTTTCTTATGGATTTAAATTTTTTACAAATAAAATAAGGAAGAGGGTACATTGTAGGTAGTCGCAATCTAGGAAATATGACCCCAATAGTTTAGGTAGGAGAGTAGTTGAAAATGAAAATTTTGTCCCCTTAATCTTTCTTTTTGCGTATTTTTTGTACACATTTTTCGCTATATTCCAAGATCCTTATTTTGGAATTGAAACATTTTTGAATTCAATTCGTTTATCTAAAGATAATTACACTCGAATTATTTAAATAAATATTAATTATTTTTGTATGACCAATTCTTAACTAACAATAGTGGTAAAATACTCCTTACTGCGAGGGTGCTGTTAGCGCAATAAATAAAGCAGTGACCTAGCAGTCACGGAAGTGTTAAGTTGTATTCTTCTTTTGTTATCAAATAATTGATATGTTAAATTTGATTTCGTCGATGATTGATTTTATTGAATATTTGAAAAATCCACTCAGACACTAAATTTACCTTAGTGCTGATTATTGAGTTGAACACAGACCAAACAGTTTTGTAATTTTTTTAAAAATCAAATAAATAAATAAATAATAATAATAATAAAATATGAATAAATAAATGAATAAATAAATAAACTAAATAAGCATTCCGTTCATAACAAAAGTTAAAATTTAGTTTTCGAAAAACTACTTTTATAACTTCTGGGCAATAAGATAATTGACCACATAATTTTTTACACACATTCTTAAAAATATACGAGTGACGTTACGTAATTCATACAACAATTTTGAAAAAAAAAATGCTTAAAAATATGATATAAACATAAAACATATAAAAAGCATAAATCATACGCAAAAAATATAAATCGTTAAACACGAAAAAACATAATCATTGAACATATACCGTTGTAGCACATAAAACATTTGCTTTATACTTTCTAAAAGAAAGAAATTTATAAGCTCTTCTGATTTAAGGAGTATTTATAGTGGTTACCATCAATTATTAAGAGTGACAATGAATTGTGATGTATTAGGGGGACTGGAAAGTAATGTCGTTTCGGTGCATTTGATATTTGTTATCAAGATTTTATTTTTAATTAATAATGTATTCACCCTCGTTAGTAACAACTTTTCAAAGCCGGATCGAAAATGAATCTAAATGGATCGAAAAAAGATTTTTTTTTTAAGACTAAGGATTATTTAATGCTCCGAAACGACATTACTTTCCGGTCCCCCTAATATTTACCGATTTCAGCTGTTGTACTTACATTTAATCATTTCCTTTAACTCTTTCAAGCATTGTATTCTATTCTCCGTTGTTTCATTTAACTCCTTTACAGCTCTCTGGTGAATTTCATCATTTATTTTCGAGTACTCCAAAGGTAGTGAGCAATTTTCCATGTTTTACGATAGCTTACCTAACATAAAATAGCAAATTAAATATATTAACGTTAAATAAAAATAACAAATAGCATCTTAGAAAAAAGCAAAGTTATTTATCTCCTTAAGAGAACCAATTTCAAAGAATTTAAACCATCTTTCACAATAAACTTTAATGAACTATTTATTAAGAATAATTCAATTAAAAATATTTATTTCACCATAAATGACTTTAAGGACTTTTTGAATAACAGTTTTTGAATAACAATTTAATAAACAGCAATTGTAAACATCGAATAACAATTTAATAAACAGCAATTGTAATTTTTTGCATGAGTAAACCAATCGTAGCAGTCATTGGGTACAAGATCAAGGAAAAAAATATTCATAATTTATTTGTTTAAGTATGCGATGGTGTTGAAAGAAGCATTTACTATTATTATTTCCTTTTTCTGTTTATTTCTGAGGTTTTTCCTGTTTACTAGAAAGAGAAAGTAAAAAAATCAGATTTCTCTCCAGATAAGTAACAGAGCTCTTCATTCACAATATTGCTTTTCCAATCTTAGCATGATAAGAAAAAAATAATTTTTTTCTTCTTTTCTACGTCAGCAACTTCAATTTAATCGTTCATCAAAATTGGGTGGAATTGTTAAATGAAGGTCACAACATACCATGGCCAACATGTGATTCCTATACTGCTTTGAGTTTATTTTATTCAGCAAAATTTCAAACGATATTTATAAATTTTCTACATAAGGTGATTTTTAATTTTCCTTAATATATATTTTTAGAATACTTGTCCAAAATAAACTTAAAAAGTACACACTTAAGGGTAACAAAATAGTATTTTAAGAGGGAGAAAACGCATTAGAAATCTAACGTATCACTACTGAGGAAGGCAGGAACGGAATCATCAAAACCTGTCTGATTATCAGTTAAGACAGGATTTGAAGGGTGATTATTCGAAACAAAATTTTCATCAGAAAATCAAATTGGTTTTGATGTTTATATCAAGCCTTTCTTATCATTGTTTTGATAGATTGCGTCAGCTTTTGTGCAGCAAATGCTAAAACTAATATGCATGCTTTTGCTGATTTGATTTTCCGACGAAGAGTCTAAAACATACATTAAAGGTGGCCATTACAAAATTGCGATGATCTGTATATTTTAACTAATTTTTTTAAAGGTGAAATGTTCAATTTGGAGAGTTAGAATTTAATTTAAAATTCAGTTTTAGTCGAAATAAATAATGTGTGAAATATTTTGGCGAAATAAGTAATGCGTAAAAATTTTTTACCAGAATTGTCATCATCATGCAGTACGGTAGTTCACCAGAATTTTTTTCTCCGTGTAAAATGCATAATTATCAGCATCTCTTTTGAAACTATTTTAAAACACAATTAAAAAATTCATACAGAGTTGAAATTTTCAGTTTAATTATAAAAAGTCTCACCTAATATTGAATAACTAATTATAAACTTTCTTTTTAATTATTCGGAAATTTATTTATAAAATTCATGTAAAAATGAGTCTTCATATTGTATTATGCTCTAGTTGTACATATCGATATTTCATTAATATTGAATATTTTTTTCGAATTTATTTTAAAATTTAATGAGCTCATAATAATAATTAGTCTCTATATTGAATCCGGTCCGCGAAGCCTTTTTTTGTGGCCCGTGAACTAAAATATATTAATTGTAATTTTTGCGGACAATTTTCGTGAAAAATCTATATGCGTTTAAAATACTTTTCTCGTTAACAAGAACCTAATTTCTTCGTTTCTGTGAAATTTATCATACCAACGGTGCAAAAAAAAATATTTCGCAGGTTTTGCATCCAAGAAAATATTTATTGAAATATAAAAATACTGTTGCTCTTTCATTTTTTTTTGTATTTTGTGAATATAATTTAGCATGTGTATATCAGAAATTTTCTAGAAGAAATTCTTCGATTTAACTTTTGGAAACCACTCATTTTGGACGAAAATATTTACACACACATTTGTAAATTTAAAATGTAAATATCTATTCTCTTGTGGTTGCAGCAGAAAAACCTCAATTTTGTCATTGAACATTTTGTGTGCTACTATGTAAGTTTTAATACCAACCTTTTTAAAGTTTTATATCTTAACAATTAGATATCTGTTTCACATTAATTGTTTAATACATGGGTGCACATTAAAGTTATCGTAGCCCGAATTTTTTAATATGCAATTAAATATTTTTAAAAATTTACTTCTTATTTTTATTTGTAATTCAATACTTCTGTTTTGTACAACTTGGTAAAATCTGACAGTAATATGTAATGCTCCTTCAAACATAAAAGAGTCCTACATGAAAGTTTGATAAAGTTGCGGCCTGCCATTTGATTTGTGTTTTTAATTGTGGCCCCCGGCCTCATGTAAGTTGGATGCCCCTGAAATGTAGAATAATAAATATTTCTCCAGAAATTATTTTAAATTCCCTTAAAAAGTTTACGAAAAGGATTTTTTTTCATTAAATTATACGCTTCGAAGAATATTAAATACTTAAATTCAAAACTTTTCCTCCTAATTACTTTAAAATACAATTAAAATGTTAAAACAAAAACGAATCTTATTGAATTTTACTTCATTTGAGCATTTTCGGCTATAAATGAATACACATTATCGTACTTATTTCTTTTGAAACTATTTTATCCCTTGTTGTTATACATTTAAACTATACATTTAAAGATATTATTTTAAATTTAGACTCACCTTTAAATATATTCCTCAAGAGTATGACTTTATTGATGCACTATCCGATGTTTCAAAATATTATTTTGACACACAGTTGTCAACACTATTTCACGGCATTTTCCAGATTCATAAACGAGCTTTATTTCCCCTCGAAGTAAACTTTGTTTTAAAAAATATCCTTTTTTGACATCCATCCAAAATACATTTTAAAATTCATTAGCGGATCTACAGCGTGTATGATCTTCTTCTTAATTTGAATAAATTACTTCCTCATCACCACAGCTGAACACAAAAGCACGATAAGCTATTATGATAAAATATAATTCTCGTATCTCGCCGTGCAATTTAAGATTCGACGAGCGATCAAGGTTCAGCGTTGCGCCAGGCTATGAATGTTTTCGTATCTACTTAATAAAACGAGCTAATAGTACTCAGCCGGGTTTTTTTTTCTGGTTTGTTTTTGTTTTTAGCCCTTACGTCAAGGTCAGGTTATGCAATGTTATATATATTTGTGAGGGAAATATTGAGTGTTTTTTTTTTAATATAGCTATGCCGAGCATAATTATGCTTTAGCCCTTAGATCTGTTGTAAACGTCTTTTGTCTTTTTTGCGTTGATAAAGATAATATAATAAACAATGGAAGTAAAATCATTGTTAAGTTCTAGAATTATGATGATGTCAAAGGATTATAATTTTAAGTAAAATGTAGAAAAAAAACACGTATGGTAAAACTTTTTATTGCTGATGATTGCAGTCTCTAAAAGAAATAACTTGCCAATTAATTTGAGCTAAAAATTGCGCTCTTTAACTAATTATTGTTGAATAGCCGGCGTGATAAGCAGTAGAATAGGAAAATACGCACAAGATTAAACTACACAAAATTATAATCCTACACACCTTTCATTTACAATTTTTGAAATAATCAAAGGAAAGGGGAATGTATATGAAATTAAAAGCACTTTTGCACTAAATGAATTATAACTTTAAAATATGTATTACACATAGAGAAAGAAAAACGTGAAATAGTTACCGTTTTTGAACAGATCATTTTTTCTTTTTATTTCAAAACTGCATGTTCCTCTTAAGTGGTTTTTTCAATACCACTTCATCAATTTTCACCTCATTCTCTACTTATTTTTCTGAATTAACTCCTTCCATTTTTCCAATTAACTCTCTTTCTTAATTTTTTAATCTTATCTCCTCTTATTTCAATATTTACTCATTATTTTCAACTTAACTCTTTCCATCTTCATTCAATTCAACTTATTTTTTTCTATTTATTTATTTTGTATATTTATTTATTATCTTTCTATTATTTTTTTTTACTGTCCTACAAAACCCCATCCACATAAAAGTTGAAACCCAATCATCTTAGGTTAAGAGTACAGATCCAATCTAAAGTAAAATATTTTTAACCAATTATAAATTAAAAAAGGGGAGCTTAATGATCAGCCCATATTAAACCCTGTTGGTCTATGGCTATTCTCAACATTTTAATTGACATTTTCTTCGCAGTTAGATCAGATATATAGAAATCGGCACACCAAGCAGGTGCTCCGAAAAACTGGGTAGGACTAAAAATGCATTCTATCTCAAATCTGTGCTTTAAGTAAAGAAAAGTCAATTAAATAAACAGTAGAAATAAACTAAAATAAAATATAAATTAAGTTACTATACATTTAAAGATCTCGTAACATTATTCAGGGGTAGGGGTGACAATGTGTCTAAGAGAAAGAAGTGGTACTTTTCTATTTCGTCAGTGCAAGTAAATTCATCTATTTTATTCCTTTATTTATTTAGTTAAAAAAAATAGCCGTCACCTAAAAAATTAAATAATAAAAAAAATAATGGACAATTGAATTTATTTGCGCCAAATGACTTTTCATTGGCGACTTTATCGCCTGAAGTAGAAGTACTGATGTAGTATAGCTAAACTAGTATTTCATTACCAATTTATTAGTAGGCGGAATAACATTGTTTTGGCTTATTTTAGTCACAACTTGTTGTTTCAAAATAAAACCATACGGCTATGCATTTATATCTAATAATAAGCAATGTCAGAATTTTAAGAATAATAAATAATTTACAACATTATTGGTACCCATATTTTTTAGGTGAGTCAGTTATTAAAAATATTGTAATATTTAAAGGAAATTGAACTATTGCGTTGTTAAACAACATTAGATGTAAGCAACTTAAAATATGATATTAGGTAAAAAAAATCTTTCTTACTGTTTTCCAAATTAATCTTTCGTAAATATTAAGAACATTTCATTAAAATTTAAAAAAATCTTCAATACAAAAACAGATGAATCATATTGATTTGAAGCACGGTAAATATAATATTAAGAAAAGTATTAATGTTTTGTGTTGGATGTTAAATTTCATGTTGATGGTTATTGATATACTATTACAACTTTTGCGTGTGAGTCAATTATTATAATTGCACTTAACATTAAAAAAATTTCAAACTTAACTCTGGCGAATAGCTAAGGTTGTAAACAACCTTATATAAAGTAAAGAAAAAATATTAGATATTGTTTGTTAAATTAATTTTTTGTAAGTGAGTTAGTTGTTAAAAATATTACACTTAATACATAAAAACATTTTCAACCTAAACACTACTGAATAGAATTGATAGAAAGAACTTTAATTTGGTAAATAAAAATATTCTATATCGCTTTTTAAATTAATATTTTGTGAGTTAATTTTTAAAAATATTGCATTTAACAATATAAATAATTATTGAATCAAATCCACGGTGAATAGCATTAGTTGACAGTACTTTTATAACTTACAAGTAGTAATATATCACTTGCAAAGTTTTGCTTGGATATTTTTTAAGTGATACTTACTGTTTAGTCCCTGTTTGAAAAATATTTCATGTTTAAAAAATATTGTACCTAACTTTAAAAAAAAGTACACAAATTATAGCGCATTGCGCTATTAGTCAGTATTTCAAATTTCTAAAAAGGCTGTTAGCCTTCTTTATAATCCCCTATGATTTTTTTAACTAAATTTTCAAAACTACTTGTTTCAGAAAACGAAAAATGTTATAAAATGTATGTTAATTTGTTTTAAAAAGTTTTTCAAATTTTTTCTCTCCGTGTAAAGGTTTTAAAATTTTAGAAGATTATGAATAAATATTTTGAAATTGTTCTCAGTTTATTAAAAAAAATTAAAATTAAAACGCGTTTTAATATGAGCTATTACTTTTGAATCTTAACACTCATGAGCTCTAATACGTTAAAATTATATAAAAGCAACGATAAAAATTTATTGTTTTTTAGAATTTAGTGTTTTTTTAATAAATATTGTAGAATCAATATCAAGATAAGCATCCTTATCTACCACTGGTGAAATCTGTACATGAATTTTAGTCTGGATTGTTTCAGATAATCGGGAAACAATAATCGGTTTCATATAATAATAAATCGGATAACAATTGATAGTTTCGTAAAAAAAAAAACAGCTTAATTTCATTTTCTGCTACATGCAAACCTCTGGCAGTTTGTAAAAATATTTGAGAACAATGTTTATTATTTTCTTTGGGGAATACTTTCCCCAAAAAGTATTTTGTTGCCCATTTAGAATTAGGAGCATTTAAAAATATTTCAAAAAAGTAAAAAAATAATTAATTACGACCTCTGAAATCAACTATATTTGCTTAAAAAGCAATAATAAATTATAATTTTACATGCATGTTCATTAGCAATCACATATACATGTTAATTAGCAATGATTTATGCGCTCTTTTGCAAGAATTGATTCTTTGGGAAGTGTATTTAAAATTTGTAACAATGCGACTATTATATTCGCGACAAATACAATCTTTAAGTACTCTGTAAAAAATTTCGTATAATATTACGGAAAAATGCACCAGCTCCGGTACGTTTTACTAGAACATGTTACGGAACAAAAAATCTGATTTTTACAGTAATAATTACGATAAAATCACTGAATCACTCTGATTAATTAATTGTTTAAAAATTACGGAATAATATTTTTCGGTAAAAATTGATTCTAGGGCAAAATTAATTTTACAGATGATGTAGCCAAAGTGCCGGTTACTTATTATATTTTATTATTTTTATTACATTATATTTATTATATTATTTTTATTACATNTCGAAACTTAACGTTCTTGGACTTGATCTTAATGGTTTGAGGGGGTGACCTCAAATATGAAAATTAATTATAGCAGACGATATTTTAAATTACGAAATCAGACACAAAAACGTACTTTCTCTGAATTAACTTACATTTTTTCGACTGATTCGTATTTTTAACCCCCAAAATAAAGGGGGCTGCCACAATCTGGGAAATATGGTCGCTACAGTTTGGTCAGAAGAGGGGTCCATATTTTTTATCCCTTAACGTTAATTTTAATTTTTGAGTACTTCGCCATATCTCGAGAATTTTTCAAGAGATTTAAAAAATTTATGCACACAATTATGAAATTCGTTTATTCTAAGACCGTGCAAAAAATAACTTTTAGTAAATATTTACCATTTTTAATTATTTCATAAAAGTCGAGAAAATTTTGAATTTTAATGCGTGCAAATTTTTACATAATTTTAAATAAAGCAATTTTACATGACAGAATACAAAATTTGTTTTTCGAAATAGATTAAATAGTTTCTAAGAAATCGAATTTAAAAAAATCGTATTTTTGGGATATATATATATGTCTATTAGGACTAAAAGGGTTAAGATATTGTCAGAACAGTAAAAGATTGTTTAAAAAGTAAATATTTTTTACAACCAGAGTTTCTAAATTGCACGAAGTTTGATTTAGCATACTTCTTGAAAAAAATTTTTGTAAGCAGAATTTTTCTATATTTTATCAAATGGAGGCTGGATGTAACACTTAATTGAAGTTTAATAATGAAAATACTATCTTGGTCACCTTTTGTTACAAGTTTAGAAAATTTTAAAATTCTTTTATAAAATTTGGTACTAAAATAGCTTACAGCAAGTAAAATAAAATACATTGCAATTACTTCGATAACCACGAAACGTATTAAAAAATAAACGAAACATAAAAAATGAATAATAAATTCCTTATATAACTAAGTATTATATAAATGGCAAAGGCACGTTTAAAAAAACGTGGAGAAATATCTAAACCGCTTCCTATTTTATCAAAATTTCCTTAAAGATAATTTGTAGTATCACTCACACGCTATTATCCGTAGGAAAAAAAATACAATTTTGCGGAATATCGCGCTAAACATTTTATAATATGCCATAACAAATAATGTGTAGATTTGAAAAGTAATTTTTTATTTTTTTTAGTTTCTAAAAAAATTAAAGAATATTTATACGAAGACTGATCCGAAATCGCCCGTAATACCGGTTTTATTTTAAAATAAACTTTAACTAGTGTCGATAATTTTGAATTTGGTAATTAGTAATTTTGAAAGAAAAAGAGATACCTCTAAAAACTTAACAGACGCTACTAAAAACTTAACTTTTTAAGCAAATTTATAAGTAAATGGGCAGTATTTATAAGCATCTCAAATTTCACAACAAGTTTTAATAAACAGGACTTTTTGTAACTGTCATTTTAGTAAAAGATAGAATTCGAATGCAAAATTTGTGACCCTATTTTATGAAACGATATTCGTGAAAAATGATTTTATCTAAAAATTGCATGTTTCGGGGCAAAAACTTTCGAAAACTTAAAATGAATGGCGTAGTTTTTAATATTGTTAACTATTTACTACATTAGTAGTAAACTATATGTTTGAATTTTTTCTAAAGGTGGGCAAATCCAGATCGATGACTCAGGGGATAGAGCGTTCGCTTTCCAATGAGGTGAACTGGGGTTCGATCACGGCGATGGCTGTTCGATACGAATTCCGCATCCGGCTTGCACCGACCACAGTGCTGACGTGAAATATCCTCAGTGGTAGACGGATCATGGGTTAGAGTCCCCTTGCCGTCAGGCTAACCGTGGGTGGTTCTCATGGTCTTCCTCTCCATGTAACGCAAATGCGGGTTAGTCCCATCAAAAAGTCCTCCACGAAGGCGAAATTTCTCCCAATAATTGATACAGGAGTTCCCTTGTCTTCTGGATGGGGTAAAAATTACAAGTCTACGGAGTTGAACATATTTAGTAGTAAACTCAAAAATTGGGTCGGCTGTTCAACGACGGTTATAAAAAAAATTAAAAGAAAAAATTCGGATCGTGCTATTTCCAAATATTTATTAAGTAAAATTTATAGTTGAATCTGAGGAGAATTATTTGGTATTTCTACTTTATCTTACACAGAGTTTCAATTTTGGAATCATTCCATATTGCATTTGTCTGAAGTAGTCTACATTGTTGTTGATTTAATCATTAAAGTTGATATATTCAGATGACGGAATATTCTTCACTTAAAATTTACGTTGGATAACTTATTTTATGACTCCAAATGCCTCGATTTCGAAATTAATCGCTATTGCATTAATACAAACTGGTTTACATTATTGTTTATTTAATCATGATGGTCGACAGAGTAGGATGATGAAAATGCAAAGTATTCTTCAGGTAAACTTTTCTGTAAAATCTACCGTGATAGATTGATGAGGTGTGATTTTTTTTGTTTGTTTCCGTGTTGCTCAGCGTTTTTGACAGGTGCAGTAATTTTGGAGTAACAGTTTGAGGAAGTGGTTGTCGAAAGAAAAATGATTCATTAAATTTGTTACAAATTTTCGATTTATAATTGATTATTGGCTTGTAAAATAAAAATGTCTCAATATGATAATATTGTGTCTTCCATTGTTTAATTATGTTCATAATAAAAATTAACAAAAAAAAAAAAAAAAAAAAAAAAAAAAAAANAAAAAAAAAAAAAAAAAAAAAAAAAAAAAAAAAAAAAAAAAAAAACAAACACCCGAATGTAAACAAAAAAGAAGAAAAAAAGAAAAGGAAATGGGATCCTGTTTGGATCTTTATTTCTTATCATGTTGAAATTTTTTTTTAAAATTTATGTCGCTTCAAAATACAAGACTGGTTTTTACATAATTTAAAGGTGTTCATTTTATATTAGTAAGTCACTCATTCTTTTCGTACAATTTGAGTGAGGTAGTTTATTGGAATATTATGTTAAAATGTTACATTTATTATCACGGTGTTGCAGCAAATTGCTACTATTAGTATCCACTATTAATTCCTTTAACCACTACACTGCAAAAAAACTCGGTAAATTTTTCACCAGTATTTGGTGCAAAGTTTCCCATTATACCTGTCGTTGTAATGAAATTCAGAGATCAGTGGATCGAAGAATGACATGTTTAATAGAACATTACACAGAGATTTACACAGTTGGAAAGTACGCTGGGACAGGAGAAATAGAAAAGAACATCAGTTAAACAGAGTTACTTGTATTTGTAGCCTTCTTGGGTTCAAGCTTAACGGCCCATCAGAACATTCTGATAGCATGCGGACGTAGAAGAAAGCTGCTTCAAATAAGTGCGATTACAGTTCTTCCTCAATAATTCCAAAGTTTAGTTAAATGAAAGATCATTTTATTTTAGTTATATCATAAATTGTTAAGTATGATCGAGAAATACTTCCATGGTGCAACTGACTGCACCAAAATTTGGTAAAAGACGCAAAGCTTAGATGGTGACTGTAAACGGAGCGATATTTGTTTACAATGCCATGTTTTCTTTGCAACTCGGTTTCGGTGTATCGGGGACGACTAATGCATGTTGTTTCAAGCATAAACTTGTTTAGGTATGTAAATGTCTTATTTGCATTAATTTAATTTCATTTCTTTAAAGTTGCCTTTTAAAATTTGGTTGGCGGTATAAAATGGCTAGAGGTATGTTCTAAAATAACCTACTTANTGTTGAAATTTTTTTTTTTAAATTTATGTCGCTTCAAAATACAAGACTGGTTCTTACATAATTTAAAGGTGTTCATTTTATATTAGTAAGTCACTCATTCTTTTCGTACAATTTGAGTGAGGTAGTTTATTGGAATATTATGTTAAAATGTTACATTTATTATCACGGTGTTGCAGCAAATTGCTACTATTAGTATCCACTATTAATTCCTTTAACCACTACACTGCAAAAAAACTCGGTAAATTTTTCACCAGTATTTGGTGCAAAGTTTCCCATTATACCTGTCGTTGTAATGAAATTCAGAGATCAGTGGATCGAAGAATGACATGTTTAATAGAACATTACACAGAGATTTACACAGTTGGAAAGTACGCTGGGACAGGAGAAATAGAAAAGAACATCAGTTAAACAGAGTTACTTGTATTTGTAGCCTTCTTGGGTTCAAGCTTAACGGCCCATCAGAACATTCTGATAGCATGCGGACGTAGAAGAAAGCTGCTTCAAATAAGTGCGATTACAGTTCTTCCTCAATAATTCCAAAGTTTAGTTAAATGAAAGATCATTTTATTTTAGTTATATCATAAATTGTTAAGTGTGATCGAGAAATACTTCCATGGTGCAACTGACTGCACCAAAATTTGGTAAAAGACTCAAAGCTTAGATGGTGACTGTAAACGGAGCGATATTTGTTTACAATGCCATGTTTTCTTTGCAACTCGGTTTCGGTGTATCGGGGACGACTAATGCATGTTGTTTCAAGCATAAACTTGTTTAGGTAGGTAAATGTCTTATTTGCATTAATTCAATTTCATTTCTTTAAAGTTGCCTTTTTAAATTTGGTTGGCGGTATAAAATGGCTAGAGGTATGTTCTAAAATAACCTACTTACGGTAAATAGTTTTTTTGCGGTAAATACGAGGCGCATCCAGAAAGTAAGTTTCCCTAATTTATATTAAAAAAAATCACACTTTCAGGAGCATATTTATTGGCAACAATTACAGCAATTTTTCAGCTATTTTTCAACATAGCCACCACCAGAGTTGAGACACTTGTCGTATCGTAGAATCAACTTTTGTATCCCTCTGTCGTAGAACTCTGCCGCCGGTGAATGGAACCAACGTGTGACAGACGTCTTCAGCTCTCCGTCGTTGCCAAAACGTTCACCGGAGGACAGGAATTTCTTGAGGTGCAAGAAAACGTGAAAATCGCTGGGAGTAATATCAGGGCTGTAGGGTGGATGATCAAACAACTCCCAGCCAAATTAGGTCAAAACAGCTGCTGTACATCATGCCGTATGTGGACAAGCATTGTTGTCATAGAGGAGCTCAACACCTGCAGTAAGCATTCCACGACTCTTGTTTTGAATGGCACGTCACAATTTGCGCTGTGTGTCACAGTAACGGTAGACGTCTATCACACACTGGTTCCATTCACAGGTGACAGAGTTCTATGACAGAGGGATACAAAAGTTGATCCCACGATACGACAAGTGTCTCAATTCTAGTGGTGGCTATGTTGAAAAATAGCTTAAACATTGCTGTACTTGTTGCTAACAAATATGTTACTGAAAGTGGGAGTTCTTTTTTTAAAAAAAATTCGGGAAACTTACTTTCTGGATGAGCCTCGTAGAAACCTTGGCCTGCATTTGAGCATTTTAAAAATACCTAATAATATTGCAATCTTCCTCTGCTTTTATAAAATAAAAAAAAGAAATAATGAAAGTAAAAAAAAAGAAATAATGAAATATAAAAGAAATAAGGAAATTTCTTTTGTTTCTTCAAAACACCTACTTTTGGTGTAACCTTCTACTGAGATTTGGAACTAGCGAAAATACCAAAGTATGATAAAATTAAGCTCCATTTTATGTAACCGGCAAATGAATACCAATTTTTGTTGCAACGTGACTCCGAATTTTTAACAGTGTATTAATTCACTTGTATCTTCTATTAATTCCATTTTTAAACTTCGTTGTTAAAACACATAAATTTTTACCATTTCTTTGACTCACTTCTTTATTAACCAATATTATTACAAATAACTAATTTATCTACTTCCAATAGTAATTATTGAATAAAATCTTTTTTTAATATTCAAGAACAGTTATTAAATCTGACTTGTGTCTGTCTTCTACCATATCTACGAATTGATTTTTTCCTCACTCCAAATTCCTCTATTCTGGAATTATTCCCCATTGCATTTGTCAAAAGTAGTTTACATTACTGTTTATTTAATCATAAAGGTAGACAGGTTCAGGTGATGCAAATTCCAAAATGTTCCTCAGGTACAATTTACTGCGGAATCTGTTGAATGACTAGATATTTCTGTGGAATCTGTTGACTGACTAGATATTTCGGTGGAATCTGCTGAATGACTAGATATTTCCGTGGAATTTGTTGAATGACTAGATATTTCTGTGGAATCTGCTGAATGACTAGATATTTCTGCTTTATGACTATAAAGGCTCCGATTCCGGAGTTATTCCGTATCGCATTAGTTCAAAGAAGTAGTCTTCATTACTGTTGATTAAATCATACAGATTGACAAGTCCAGATGAGGGTAAGGTACCAAAGTATTCTTCAGGCAGAATTTTCATTGGAATCTGTGAATGAAGCTCCTCCCACTCACCAGTTGGATGGAATATAAGCTAGAAGTTAAAATATGTTAAACTAGAAGTTAAAATATGTTAAACTAGAAGTTAAAATATGTTAAATTGGAAATTAAAATACATTAAACTAAAAGTTAAAATACGTTAAACTAGAAGTCAAAATATGTTAAACAAGAAGTTAAAATATGTTAAACTGGAAGTTAAAATATGTTAAACTAGAAGTTAAAATATGTTAAACTAGAAGTTAAAATATGTTAAACTAGAAGTTAATATATAAACTAGAAACAAAATAGAAGTTATTTTACACGGAAACTTCGATTTTCAAAACAATTGTTTTTGGGAATGATTAAGAGCGATTAAAAGCATAATTTAATTCGGCAAACAGATAAAACTGATTATAGTATCATGAAAATTACAATATTAATTCAAAAATTAAAGTAAACCAAAATTTTGTTGTTGAAAGAAATGAGTCTGTTTAGGTTTTTATTTTCAATTAAGTTAATTCAAATTATTTTTAGTTTACTTCATCTTCATAAGAAATATGATAAAGTTACGTACAAAGTTTTTCTTTATTTATGAATTCTTGAAAAGAGAAAAAAAAAACTATGGTCAAAACTATCAGAGTGTGCTTAAATTTACCGATTTTCTGGCTCTATGGGAACACCAAATGCACGTAGGCAATGATTTTGATTAAATTAGCCTCGTAATATACTGTTCTAATGTATGATAAAATTTGGTAAATGTAGCAAAAATTAGTATTTTTATAGTATGCCTTAGAGTATGGATTTAAAGCCATGCTTTAATTAAATTTACTTTTCCATGCTTCGGTTAAATGTACCATGCTTTGGTTAAATTTACTTTTCAGTTTAGTATTTCTTATTTAACGTTTGGTAATATGAATTATAATTTTGAGAACCAGAATTTCCGGTAAACCATTACCATTTGGATGGAAAAATTACCAAATTAATGGTTCATAAATACCATATATTTTGGTTTTATTACTGGAATTGAGATTTCTTTTACCAGAAATATCATTACCATACAGTGCGATAATTTAACCAGAATTTTTCTCTCCGTGTACTGTAGAACAGTTTGAAATCCAAAGAGTGTCTTATAATGTTTGGAGTGTCTTATTATGTTATTAATGCTAGATATTTAGTGATTCAGTCATTGGTTTAGAGATTCAGTTAATGAAATCGTTTTTAATGATTTAGTATGCGATTTAATGATACAACTAGTGATATAATTTGCAAAAATCAATCCATCGATGCGGTTAGATATTCAGTAATTCAATTAGTGATTTAATGATGCCGTTAAATTAATAATTAAATGAATGAACCAGTGAGGGAACTAATGATTGAAAGAATCAGTTCTGAGATCTGTTTTAGTGATTACGTAAATGATTTAGTTATTTAGTTAGTGATTTAATTATTAATTTACTAAGTGATTTGTTGCTGTTATACTTGTTGATTTAGTTGGATGGTGATCTTGATGATGATATTGTTAGCTGGTTAGTGACTCAGTCAGAACGTTTGCTAAGCAAGGAGTTTATTTAGTTAAACTACAAGCGGTAAACAATTAATTGAGTTCCTTCACTAACTGCAGCAACACTTTAAAACACAATCAATATTAAACTGTAAAGTAAATTATAATAGCACCAAAAATCTAATATACAAATAATTTCTTGATCAAGTTTTGGAAGATAGAAGATTTACTTGTTCAATTCGCAACTTACTTTTTCTTTAAGTCCAGGATCCAGTCTATTGAGGGACAAATTGTACAGAGAATTCATAATAACTGGAGCATTTAGGATGTGTCCAGCAACGATGCGCAGCGTCAACGATCGCTAAAAAGTAAGAATTTCTATTAAGTCTTCCGAATTTTATGTACATTTACACGTCAAGACCAAACGATTCGAAATTTTATCAGCATCACTAGATCCCTATTTATCTTGTCAAGTTAAAATCAAACCAGCTAATATTTCATTTAGTAAGAGTCTTTGGTAATTTTATATTTAAGACTGCATTCATTAAGTTTTCCAGTTTATGAATAATGTTTTTTATGACATTCTTAAACTCATTTTCGGCCAAAGGTGTGCGAAAGCACCATTTCAATAAATATTTTTTTCTTAACACTGCGACGTATATTTTTCACGAATTTTATTTTTCTGCTATTGTCAAAGGTTCTTAAGACATCCATAAATTATTAGTAATTCAATTGGAGCAAACACTTTCTGTTGAGAAATTTTTAAACTATTCAAGTTTTTTTTATAAAACTTAAAACGTTTATTGACACATGAAATTTTTTGAAAATGTATAATTATTCCTTTTGAGATTTATCATATGTTTTTATGATTAAAGTTTCAAGTCAGAAAATAAAAAAATAAATGATACAAATTTCATAAGAAAACAAGCGTTTAACTAAATGGTTTGATCATTGATCTGGAGAATGGTGTCCATTCGCACCATTTTATTTCTCAAATAAAAGATAATTTTTCATACACGAAATTTTTTTGTGTCCTAATGAATGTAATGTAAGCATATTTCAATGAAAATAATACCACATTTTATAAAATTCCTACGCTTGGCCTAAAATGGGTTAAAACTTTCAGAAATATAATTTTGACTGTTAAAAATACTGTCTGGCAACCACAAGATGAACCTCCTTCTTTCTGACAGCAATCTCAATGAGACCTCAACCTATGATTGCCATACAGAAGACTTTTTTAAATATAAAATTTTCATTATTTATGTAAAACAAAATATCGAATACGTCATATATTTCGAAGATGGATTGAATTCTTGAAGGTGTAAACTCAGACCACTTCTCCGCTGAAAATTCTTTCAAATCGCAAATCATGGTTATTCCACAAAGTTGAGTTACAGGGTTTGTTAGAAGAGTTTCAAATATTAAGAAATCCAATCGCATTAGCTCTTCAAAGCTACACACATTAGGATCAAACTTCCCTGAAATAAAGAAAACAATTACTATTTTATTATTTAATATTACAATTACTATATGTCCGTATTACTATTACGATAACTATATTTCCGTATTACTATTAAAATTACAATATTTCCGTAGAATTTGAAGATTGACCGTTAGTTTATAGTCAGTATCCATAATTGAAAAGATTTTTAGCCAAATTAGCTGAGTTGAAAGTTAATTAATATAACCTGCTTCTGCTCTTTGAAAAAAAGGCCCTGTGACCGTAACTATAACGAACTTATGATAAATTAGCAGAGCTGACTCTTAATTTATACGGCAATTATATGAAGTTTCCTTACAATATTATGTTAGGGAAGCAAAAGTCCAGGTTCGAACCCTGTCACTGCTGAAGAGCATCTCTCTTGCAGTCTCTCCACATTGGTGACGACGGACAAATAACAAGCAACTCTCTCACTCCTCGACTGATGTATAGTAGTTCTACACTATTTCGCCTTTTTCCACTGTTCGCCTTGATTCGAATGATCAACTGAATCTCAAGCAACGCCAAGGGCAGAACTGAAATTGGATTTTACGATACTTCTTTAATTCAGCGCCAATGTTCTTATATTTTACAAAAAAAAAAGAAAAAAATGTACTTTTATGGTCATTCTAGCTTTACGGGCATACATTTATTTTTACGTCAATGACTGGAACACTTTTTGTTGGTCACTAGCCGTAATTAAAGGATGGAATTTTTTAGAGTCTTACTACATTTCAAATATACCACCAGTTTTAGTAAATGAGAATTAAAAAATATTTTTATTTGTGTATCTATACTCCGAATTGATACCAAGAGTTTTATGAAATTCTAAAAAATAAAACTCAGAATAATTTGGAATAATCAGAATTATTTCTATTTATTTTGTAAAATATTTATAAACCAATAATTTTCGATTTCACTAATACAATTACTAATAAACCTGAGGACTGAATTTCAGATTCGAATCACTAGAGTGATATATATTGATTCAAATCACTGTGTTATTGCGAATCAGTGATTTAATCCAATTGATGTTAAGTCATTTAACTCGTTTATCTTTTTATTATTTAAATGTATTACTATGAAATAGCAAATTCAAATATTTAGATTTTTATTAACCTAGTTAAACTTAAAATACCTATTTGCTTTAAATTAAGTAAAATATGTCTTTACATTCATTTGTCACTTTTTTCACTCACCTTGCTTTTCGTTGATTTGCGAGAAATGATTAAAAAAAAAAATTCGATTTAATCATAAACGTTAATTTCGAGTCACAGATAACAGTTTTATTACACGTAATAGATCTGTTATCTGAGTAAACTATGATCAATAGCAAACAATTTTGATAAAAAATGCTGCATTTATTAACTTTATCAAATTTTTATAATTCTTTTCTAATCAGTTTTATAGATTAATTCTATTTATTTTATAAAATTTTTATGAACCAATTATTTTATAATCCTTTTTTAGTAAATAAATTTTTAATTATTTATGAAACTTTAATGCAAAATCAACAATGCAGTCAATATGATATAGAATGACTAGACAACGAAGAAAAATTTTAATTTGATTTTGTTCCTTTATGGATAATAAATGATAAATTTGCATTTTTACTACACGTTGCACTTATTAGCTAAAATATAAAACACGTTCAAAGATATCTGTTTTGTATAAAAGACGAAATTTTTTGAAGTTATACTTCTTATGCGACTTCCAACAAGGTTGCGTTAAACGTTTAACGCTACATTTTTATTGACCGGGAAATCACGTGGTAGGATCCAGTTTTCCCTCATTCATTTCCATATTGTTTTGGTTCTCACTAGCATAAAAATAATAAAAGTCATAAAAGTATTGCTTTTCTACAAATATTTTTTTAGTTTGTTTTGATACACATATAATTTAATAGGGTAGTATTTTTTATTTTCAAATTTAGTGGATAACAATTGTAAAAAATGAGTGAAAACAATTCCACGGACAATGCGACGGATTTAAGGTTATGTCAAGGTAGGTCTCTTGTGAATATCAATTGATTGTTAGGTTTTCTCTTCTGAAATTACATTATGACGCAGTCACATACATTATTAATATAAATACGTTTTCCAGGCAAGCACTTCCACTGGTTCAAAAAAGAAAAATTGCACAATATTACCGTGATTACAGAACACGGAAGCGAGCGGAGCAGGAAAAAGAGTCGTTGAATAGAACTAGTGATCCTTCTACGACTGCTGATTCTTCTACAATTAACGTCGCAGGTTGCGAAGTTTAACTTCCTCCACGCACTATTTTTTTATACATTACACTCGTCATACCAGTAGAATATATCGTTTTATTTGGCCATTTTTTTACAGAACAAAAAAACAGTGAACATTTTTGTTTCAGTGTCAATTTCACTTTGACAAACCTACAGCAAATTAAAAAACCAATACTAATTACAAAACATTATTAACAGCTTAAAAAATAAGAAACTTTTTCTTGTTATAAAAAAAAAGTGAATAAATTTCAATTAAAATTATTTTATCGCTGTGGTCAGTAAAGATTCGAAAATTAATTAATTTATTATAATGTATTGATTTTATTATTCTTATTTGTTAATTTGAATCGATTGATTCGAATCCGCCGATTTTTCTTAGTGATTCAAAACGATTGTTCAAAAAATCGTTATTCAAGTAATCAATTCCGAATTATCGAATTAGAATCAATTTTAAGGTTCCGTTTAACCTGATTCTAATTTTAAAATATTTCATATTTGTCTAGACAATATTAGTCGCTATTACAATACAATAACAATATTAGTCGCTATTACAATACAATTATAATATTAGTCGCTATTACAATACAATTACAATATTAGTGCCGACCGGCCTGTGTAGGGGGCAGGGAACTGTCCTTGCATCAGAAAGGTCCTGGGTTCGAATCCCGGTCAAGGCATGGATGTTTCTTTCCCTCTCTGTGTGTTCCATGTCCTTTCTCCTTTGTGTGTGAATGTGACCCGCCCTATAAACGGGTTGTGTGAATGGCGTGACAAAAGTCGAATTCCTGGCCATAGATGGCGCCACTGAAAGACAGGAACAATTGCACCCCCACTGCCTAAACAGTCATACGGCAAAAAAAAAAAACAATATTAGTCGCTACAGCATTGCACCCTCTTCTTGAAATCAAGATAAAAAGACAGGACAACGTCTCATCATAACGCTTTTAGTCTAGTTTATGAATTATGAGATTTTCGATCAAAGCACATTTTCACTGTTTTAGGTCAATGGACATACTCCATCAAATTATACTTATGGGTTAGAGATAGAGAACACATTAAGCACGTTAACTTACCTAATCTGTGGATTAAAACGACAGAGTTGTCTTTTGTACGAAATGGCAATGCAGCAATATGATTCAAAGACTGAGCTCTCAAGGTGGTTTGTGGCAGAAAGAGTTCGAATATATCCGAATGTTTCCTATGACAGGCGTAGTATCTTTTTATTCTTTTGACTGCTAAAGACGTCTTAAATGAAGACCCTCGAAGAAATCTCATCAGAAAATTGGTGTTCAAGTTCGGTGTCACATCATGGCATGTTTCTAAAGTGGATAACTACAGTTTAAAACAAGGCTCTTAATCGGATAAGAGAGTAAATAAGAAAGGTGATAAAAACTATCGTGTAAAAGCTGTAATGTGATACCTATCTGAGTTAAGTGATGAAAAGCTTTAAAAATTGTGAAAATGAGTATTTTATTTCAAGTTAATACTTAATCGGGGGCTTATTCACACGTTAAAGGGTATAGTTCGTGGCTTAACTACCACTACAAACATTAAATATCAATTCACTAGTATATAACACATGTTAACTTGATTCTCTCTAGAGGTATCATTTGATAGATGAAGGTTGACATAGTCGATAATAATAACTCCATATAAAATAAATAAATAGCACTAAACGACTAGTGGTATTCACTCATCGAATTCTATCAAAGATAAAATTCTGGAAGGGGAGTAATGTGACGTAATTACCACCACAAATATTAAATACTAAATCACTAGTATATAAGACATTTTAACTTGATTCTATCAAGAGGTACCCTTTAATAGATGAAGGTTGACATAGTCGATAATAATAACTCCATAAAAAATAATGAGCGAAAAATAAATAATTAAACAGCATGAATTATCTAGTGGTAATCGCTCATCGAACCCCATCTTCCCTTATTGCTACATATCTTCGATGGAAAAGTAGATAGCCCTATGGGCTAGGAACTTCGAAAAATAGAATTTATATTGGATATTGGATTCTATCAAGAGGTACCTTTTAATAGATGAAGTTTGACATAGTCGATAATTATACCCTCTTAGGTTAAACGCCAATTAAAGAAAAAATTTACACCATGCTTAGATGTATTTATTTTTTTCAAGATTTATTTTCGCCAGTTTTGGTTTACGTTTGGAAACTATCTGACGACTCGACTCTGTAGATTGTTTACAAATCGACATTTTACAGAAATAGATAATTATTGTGAAAGCCATGCACGTTTAGTTGCATAATAAAGAAAATTGTGTTATAATAAGAAGATTACATAATTTTTCAATTGCATGTAATAATTTTATAATATTTAATTTTTAAACGCTTTGGTTGTGTTAAGCTTAGTTGAGAATTCAGATTAATATTATCCCTGTGGTGAATGTATGCTTGATTAACAAGCTAATTTTATTTTAAGAAATGTTTCATACATACCTTAATAAATAATTCTTACTTTATATTGTATCGTAAAAAGTAACTTAACGGATTCTTATGTGTTTCAAATCTTGCAATAATTATTAATTTTAATGTTGCTGAATACCAAAATTGGAGCGGAAACTTTACACCAAGTAGTGTAAAAAGAACATTCTGGTGATACACTACATCAGAAATGATTCTTGGTTCTCAGTGTAGTGAAACATCAAGATCCAAAAGCTCCACGACACCAATTAGGTGTAAGGTAGTTGCAATCAGTTTCGGCGTTGAGATACACTAA